TAATCAGTAACATTTGTACAATAATGCAAAGAATACTATTAGAACAACAAACCTATTGCTAAGTGATGTAACACAGGGATGATGGCCTATGATGGTCTAGACCAATGTTGCAAAATGAATAATTGTTTGATTAGGAATAAACTGATATGGAAATTGGTTGTGTTTCAGGTCAGTTTGAAGTTGTTTCTGCCACAGTGGACCACTACAAAGGTGGGATGCGAGCCAACTACACAGTACAGAAGTGTAGTATGTTTCAGCGTCAGACTGATGTGATGCTACATTCAAAGACTTACTACATTGCTGCTGTGGAAATGGACTGGGACTACTCACCCAACCGCACCTGGGAGACTGAGATGTTCAAAGGCCATCAAAAGTATGACAGAAAATTCAAGTTATTGTAATTTTGCTTTTGTGTATTTTTTCTTTTGTGCATAAAAAGGTTCTTCATTCTTACTGAAGCAAACTTTTAGCTATACAGTAAATGAAAGAAGTTTCGTCTACTGATTGGACCAGGAGCCTTATTTTTTTTGTCACACCTAATGTTGTAATTACAAAAATGTACATATTTTGAGGATCATTGTATATTTCAATCTTTTATTCATACCTGTTTTTAGGATTATGTCCTATTGCTAATGAAATATTATCACAATAAAAGATAAATTATGAAACTTTTTTTTTACCCCAAGCAAAAAATGATACACAATTGTTATGTGATAGCAAAGATTTATAAAAAATTTTATTTGGTTGTGCAAACAGATAATTGCATGTTAGGTTATGGCTAATAACCCTGGATTTTTACACTGTACTGTGAAAAGCCAAGGTTATTGGAAATTCGAGATAAAGAAAATCCCTTTTCTTGCAGTGAAAGCTAATATTTTTCCAAAAAACATTTTCTCTCTTGCAACAGTCCTGCTCCTGTCTTTTTGGACAAACATGATGGGTTCATCGGTTCAGTTTACAAGAAGGTTGTCTACCAGCAGTTTACAAATGACAAGTTCACCAGGAAAGTGGAAAGAACACCTGATATGGACCATCTTGGTATCATGGGTAAGGATGACTAAAGCAGAACCCCAATTGTTTTGGACTAAGCAATGCTGGATGATGGCCAATTTGTACAAGCATGTAAAAAAAACAACAACTTTTATTTCTCATATTAAACACTAAACAGAGATAGTTAATAATTACTTTGTTGTATTATATGTTTAGGATATTTACATATTTGTTATCCATCCTGTGTGGTTTCTCATTAAGTTATATTTTTGTAGAGCTGGCATCCAGTTTTATTGTCTCATTATAGTTGGAGGTTTTATCTTAACTGTAATTTATTTGTACCAAATGAATGCCAAAGATGTTAAAAAAACAAAAAAAAAAAAACAAAAAAAAAAATTTATATTACTCATACTGATATAAACAAGTGTGTTTTCTAACAAAAAATTTTGTTTGGAATAAAACCACATGATGTTTTTGTACAAAATCTCCTATAATACTATTGATAAAGTTTAGGATCCTAAGCGTAAATAAGAAGTACTTCTTGGCTACTAGTTTCTATGGAGTATAAATTTGAGATGGCACAAAAAATATGAACATTGTCCCAAAGATGTCGGCTATTTTATTGTTATTTCAATGGTTCTCATTTGCTCTTTTTTAAGTTTATATCTGTAAAAAAATAGAATATTATAATTTCGTGATTGCCTTGATTAAACAGTGACAACTTTTGATGTAACTGATTCATTTTCATTCAGGTCCAATGATTCATTGCTCAGTTGGTGACAAAGTTAAGGTGGTTTTTAAGAATATGGCATCCAGGCCTTATTCTATTCATGCCCACGGGGTGAAGACAGAATCTCCTGATGTCTACCTAACCAAACCAGGTACAAGAAATGATAGAAGCATCACATTTTTATGAATGGAGTTTAAAGTAAAAAGAAAATTGGAGCATGCTCATTTGATATGTATTTATTGGGCGAGTTCATAAATGTATTTTTTCTAATTAATTATTCAGGTGAAACTCACACGTACACCTGGTACGTCAACAAAAACACCGGACCCACTGCAGATCAAGAAGAGTGCTCTGTGTCAGCGTATTACTCTACTGCTGATGTTACCAAGGTGTGTTTAAAAAGTACTAAATTGCAATGTTTTTTTTTTTTTTTTTTTTTTTTTTAAACACATTCTTATGTTTTCTTCATGCCTTCTAGGACCTGTACAGTGGACTCATTGGTCCGTTGGTTATATGCCGCCGTAGCTGGTCACGGTAAGGATTCAATTTGTGTCTACAACCACTTGGAAATGAATGCTTACCATGCTTTTATTCTGTAACACCATGTTTCTGACAAAACTCTGCTTCTAGGTCTTTTGGACTGAAGAAGGAAATAGAAGAGTTTGCACTACTTTTTTTGGTTTTTGATGAAAATGAAAGCTGGTGGGTAGAATAATTTACATTTAATACATTATTTAAAAGAGGAAAAAGTATGCCTTTAATTGTCAGGTTGTGTGGAAGTTTTAGAGGACCCAAATGCAGAGAAGGAAACTGAGGTGGTTTCTTGCAGATTAATTTATCCAAATGGTGAAAACCTAAGCAAAAGTCCACATACAAAATAAACAAACCAAAACCCAGGAGAGGTCAGGGAAAACACACATGAGGAGCTAAGAAACAACGAGGAACCAGCAAAAAGTAAATGAAGAGGAGGAGTATAATGGTGGACAGAAACGATGGAAGGACTAATTAGCAGACGAGGAACAGGTGTGGACAGAAAAATCTAGAAGGGAGCTAGGAGAAGGAGACTGAAACAAGAGGGAAACAAAGGGTAAACAAGAAATACATAAGAACTCAAATAAAACCCAAAAAACTAGAATAACACAAATTGAAAAAAAAATACTCAAAAAGAAACTTAAACAGAAACAAAACCATATCATCAATAGCCGACCTGACAAGATTTGCCCATCCTGCCAAGGGATGCATTAGATAGGGAGTAAAAGAGCTTCATTGTAACTCTCGAAGTTGCAAGAACAGTTTAGGTGAGAGGTTCTGTCAACAGAACAACTGTCTGACATACTGTATTTGGACAAGTGATAAGAAGAAAGCCATTATTGAAAAGAAAGCTAAAAACACCCTGATTAGGATTTTTCTACAAGTTAACACAGCAGGAGAAAGGTATCTGGAATCATTACACAAAAGGAAATATCTTGGTCAGGACAAACACTAAACATGACCCCATACAGACCTGATGAAGGCAGACATCACGCTTGAGGTTTGTTTTAGTTTTTTTTCGGCCAGATTTTATGAGATGGACCAAGCAAAATAAAGTGCCATCTTGGCTCAGAAAAATGATTATTCAGTTGCCAGAATGACCAAGTCAATCTCCTGACCATAATCAAGATGAAGGTCTGTGGAAAACATAAAATTTGATGTTGACACTGTCCTTCTAATCTGACAGAATTTAAGCTATTCTGCAAAAAAAAATAGCATACATTCATTGCTGTAAATAAAATGAAACGTAGTTGGCTTGAAGGAATTAAAAATAAATGCATACCACATATTTCTTCTTTTGACAATATAAAGTGTGTCTTTCCAAATATAAATTATTTTACTTTTCCTTTGTATTTATTATTGACTTTTAATGTGTTGTTTGCTTTAAAACATAAAACCTCATTAAAATATTTAAAAGATTTGTAGTTCAAACAGCTGAAAATGTGGTTCAACATTTAACATTTTCAAACAATTGCAAGCCACATAAGAGGTTCTTGTTAAAGTAGACATTAAATATCTTTGCAACTGCCCTAAAAAGGGATATACTCTACACTTCAGGTATTTGGATGAAAACATCAGAAGGCACATCAGGAATCCCCGTCCAAACCTGAAGGATGATGAAACCTTCATTGAGAGCAACAAAATGCACGGTAAGACAAAAACACACAGAAAACCCGATAGAAAATAAAAACCAAAACACAACAAAGCAAAATCCAAATTAAGTTTATAATACATTGGAAAAATATCCTGAATGTCTCAATATGTTTTAAAGTTTGTATTTAGAAATGGTTGGACTCATATTTGGAGTCGCACTTTAAGAGAGAAGCGCAGAAACTTTTCAAAATAAAAAAAACAAAACAAAAACAGTTCAATGGTTCTACTTTTTTTTTTTTTTATAAACAAACCTTTATATATATATTAGCTTGATAAGTTTCTAAATTAGATTTACTAGAGGCACATTGAACCAGATGCATCCCCTGCATTAGTAATGATTTTACTCTGGGGGGTACGTATTTGTTCTCGTTTGTTCTGTCGGCTTGATGTCAGATGGGTCAGTTAATAATCAACTATAGGAACTGTCCCAGTTACAGCTTGTAATAGTTTGCCTTGTTCCATTATCTGTGTTGAAATTTCGTTCCATGTCCCTGATGACAATATTTATTTTGGCTCATCACTCAGTTTACTTATCCTGGAATTTCAAACAAGTACATTTTAAAAACCAGAAATGTAAACATTAAAGTCTAAGTGCTTTCAGATGAAATAATTAATCAGATAAATAAAGGTGAAGGTATTGGTCCTTACACAAAATGAAACAAGTAGAATATATGTGATGTTTTGTGTTTGCCTGATTACAGCTATTAATGGTTATGTGTATGCCAACTTGAATGGACTGATCATGGAGGTGGGAGATAAGGTGTACTGGTACCTGATGGGAATGGGCAATGAAGTGGATATACACACTGTGCACTGGCATGGTCATAGTGTGGAATACAAGGTATGTAAAAGTAATCGGAAAAATAATGTAGGGGGTTAACGTAAACAATCACACACAGATTGAGAAGAATTTGTCAGTAAAGTCAGATGCTGTATTGTGTTTATTGTACAGCTCGGTGGAGGACCTCACCGTGTTGACTCATATGAGCTGTTCCCAGCCATCTTTCAGGTAAAATCTCCACATTTTTCAAATTGTTGTAAATGCTTGTTTTAGTTGCATGAATTTGGTTTTGAATCTGAAAACACATTTACAGAGAAAATAACATATATATATATATATATGTAAAGGGCAAACTATCTTAATACATAAAAACATAACTGCAAATGATTTGTTGACTAATGTTATAGACTAACAATTATAGGAAAAACAATTAAAAAACTGAAAAAAACCCAAAACATTTTTATATAAAAAAATCAAACTATCTTAATACATAAAAAAATAACTGCAAATGCTTTGTTACTGTAAGCTCCAGTTTGCCAATAGGACACAACTTGCCACTACTACACTATAGTATTGAGGTCTGGGGGCTCTAATGTTCATTGAATGGATGGTTTTTTTCAGATTCTATATACTTTCTCCAATGATCTGTATTTTCTATCATTATCTTACTGTTAAACCCACTCTTAAAGTATTGTACCTTTTCTGGCTAAGACCAGGGAATTTTTATTTAAAATGTCTAGGAATGTCAAAGTTAATGAATTTTCCAGGACCTTAAGAAGAAATATTGGTCTAAAGCAGAACTTGCACCTTGTTTATTATGCAGCATGTGATACTTAGCTAGTCTGATCTGACTGTACTACACAGTTTGAGTAAAAAAAAAAAACAATAGAGTTCTGCATGTCTTATACAGTTGTACAGTTATGATAAAACAAAAAATTACAATAAATGAAATAGAAAAATCTAATGTTACACTTGTTCAAGCAGACTCATGTAATATCTGGTTTCTGGTTTCTTTTCTTTTATCAGACAGTGAAGATGCGCCCTCAGTACCCTGGAACCTGGCTGCTCCACTGTCATGTTACTGATCACATTTCAGCAGGAATGGAGGCAATGTATACGGTCACTGAAAAAGGTATTAAAATAAATAATGCTTGGAAGAACAATAGGATGAAAGATAGATGATACTAATGTCTGATTTTCATTGTTTCCTCCACAGCAAAAAGGGGTGGACTTTTTGGTTGAACTGCTGATGAAAATTGATCCACACAGAACCTGACTAAACCAAGTTCAATGTTAATTTTTGTGCCCAGTTAACTGACTATTTGATAACAGACTTCCAATGTAAATAGTGACTGGTAGAATCTGCACCCAAAACTAATCATGTTCAGATAAAAAGTGATTTTTACATAATTGTGCTGGTATTTTTTTATTGTCTGAAAACATTGCCAAACCTCCATAGAACTTCAGTGTATATTAGGTAAGGTAACTTAGTCATTTAATTTAGTATAGTTTGACACCCCTGGTCTAAAAGGAAAAAGACAAATGGGTTTCAACTTACTACAGTCACCTGCTAAAAAAAAGAAAAGGTTCAAAACACTTTTTTTTGTCATAAACTAGCCCTTTTAAGATTTCAGAAAAGCTTTTTTGACTGTGTTAAACTTTGCACAATTAATTCAATAGAAGAAAGAATAATTTTGGTCATCCAAATGGTATTTATTTAGTGAACAAACATAGACTAATAAGGTGTTTATTGGGTCTATAGCCATTTTAATCACTGGCAGATATGTTTGGGTGTCGTCAGTAAAGCAGTGATTTGAATCGTTTAAAATGGAACTAAAAGATGGCACTAGAGAAGAGTGAAAAGAGTGCAAGGAATGGGAAACTCAGATGTAAACACAGCTATAAAGGGTTAAAAATGACAATTTTTTTTTTTTATTTTAATCATGAAATAAAGGCTTTAGAGTAGAGTAATCAAATCAGGTATTTTTTACAAACGTTCCAAAACAAAATTTACTGCCACTAACTCTGACCTAAACCATACATCATGTATTTATGAGGTGATTCATAATATTGAATGCAAATTGACAGCACATCAACACTCAACAATAGCTGTGTTATGTTCTGTTGTGGCGATTCATTCAAAATTTAGGGAGATAGATAACATCTCAAAAAGAAAATATAAACTTCCCTGTCGCCATTGTTTGCTTTCAATATGTTATTTTTGCAAAACTTTTTTTTTTCCAAACACTGCATTTGGGCTAAAAGGGTCATTATGGATAAAAATTTCACATATTACAGACCTCCAACAGTTTTTTTTCCATCCATAATACCTCTAAAATAAATATTTGAGTCCAACAAAAAAAAAAATATAATAGTACCATGTTTGAATGATATGGCACAAGTGTTTTTTTGCCTTTTTTATTTCCAGGGAAAAACTACACCTTTTAAAAAACATCTTTCTTAGAAAACAGAAGGGTGTAAAGTTTAAGTGGTAGACTTCTCGTTTAGTGCTTAATTGTTCAAGTAGGCATTCAATTTAAGCAATTGAATTCTACAATTAAGTTGAATTTAAACATTTATGAACAAATAAAGAATGATTCTATTCCAGTGTTTTCTTTTAATACATGTTTACTTTTAACTAAAAAAACAAAATGGTAATCCTGATGTGGTACTTTCTTGAAACCAACACAGGGTGGCAAAATTGTCACATAAATGCTCACATAGGCTTTGATTGGTTTCATTTTTTAGAAGCAGCTCAGTTAACAGACAGGTTTTAAGGTGAACTAAGTGTTTCCTTAAATTTGGACATCTTAATGAAAAGATGTTTCATTAACACACATATTCAAAGCTTACAGCAAAGCGTTTTTTAGATCAGTGTTGGGCAAAACTTTTGTTTCTTCATTGTCTTTTAGGATCAATAGCAACAAGCTTCGTTAAACTTAACAGCTATATGCCCTATAGTTTGACATTTTGCCCCATATCTTTCAAACTATTTATAAACAAAGACCAAGCAGAACTACTATATACTAAGAATGCTGAAACGAGCATCTCTCATATGGACTTGAGCTTTAACCACAGTACCAAAGAAAGTGTCCATACATCCTGTCTTACTGCAATGCTCAGATAAAGAAATATGTACTGACTGTTGAAGGCTGTAGAGTCGAGCATTGGATTGAATCTAATAATACCTGAAAAACTTGGATTGGAGAAGAAGAAGAAAATAAGAGTAATGCAGAATTTAATGGACACCGCAAACCATTGGAAACTTTTCATTTGAATGGCCTTCATGGGAATAAAGTTGAAAAGAAGACGTGTCGCAGACCTGCTCTTCCACCACCTATCGTAACCTTTCACTGGCCTCACAAACGCAATTACAAGCATGCAGTCAAAAAAAAAAAACCCTGTAATAACATCAGCTTCCAGGACTGCTTTAACATTACAAAGAAATAACTAGATAATATAAATAATAAATACATTATTTATATAAAAACAATATAGGTTTCCCCTTACCCAAATTATTTCCCAATTAATTTTTTTCATGTTTTTCCACATTCCACAATATACTAATGTTACTTTGTTGAAAACTTGCATTAAAGTCAGTTAAGGATTTATTGCATTGTATTTCGTTTCCTAGAAGTGAATAAAAACATAGGTTATTTGCATCTAGAATAAAAATACACAACTAGACTCTAAGCTGGCAGGCCAATGTGATTACTGTATGCTGGCAATATATTGCTTATAGATTGCTGTGTTGTACAAAGAAGGGAACAGACAAATCAAAAAGCAATGAGTTATTTCTGGCAATTATTACCATCACATATACAACCAGAATACATTCAGCTAAGAACCGACATCTACACACGTATATTGTGTTTGTGTGTCTTTAACCCACACTGTACAGCATGACACTCTGAGTTCTGAAAAGCCACCTGCAGCCCTCCTCTAACTGGCAGGGAAGTAAAAATTTCAAAGATTTAGAGCATGAAATTGCCAAATAATGACCTCTCTGACCAAAACCTGTCGGGAGTCCTAATTATGTGCCATCATCTCTGTCCTGTTCAGCGTGTCATGTGACTCTGAACTTTATGGTGGCTTTCTGGCAAATTGTTGTGCATCTGTTCTTGCTTGCTGCATTGACGTCAGCTGATCAGGGCACAGCTGTCTAACCGTTGGGGCTCATTTAACCCTACAGGACAGACTTTCCAAGCAAAAAAAGAAAAAATGGAATAGGAAGAGTTGTATAAAGATGCTGTTTTTTTTTCTTTCAAATGTTGTTATTGCTGAAATATTGAAAGGGAAAAATAATTCAGTTACAAGATGTTGAATAGAGATTATTTGGAGTTTACATTTCCAATGGAGTTTACATCCTCCTCTTGTGAATGCACAGGTTCTCTGTGTGTTATTTTAGCTTCTTCCAGCAGAAATGAACTTTTTACCAATCGAATGGTTGAACAACCTAAATAGTTGGTTTTAAATCCAACTATTTAGGTTATTCAACCACCAAATTGGTTAAAAGTTATAACATTTCAGCTCTTTATTTTTGGAAAAAACCTGATATTATAGTTTCTGTGAATAACTACCTCATAGTTATATTTGTTTTTATAATTTTAGAAGCCATCCTAAACCCCAGAGTGCTTTGTGAATGGCTTCCCTGAGTAGAATTCTAATAAAAATCCTAGAATATGTGACATTGACATCACTACGAGATAATTTTAGTCGTAGGATTCTTTGTGAATATTTTATATATTTATATAATATAATATATATTTTATATATAGGCCCATATTTTTTTTTACTTATTTTGACCCCACTTTATACCATTGTAGCACTGTCTATAATGTTTGCAGGTGGCTGGTAAAAGGGATGCTTGTTTTAGTCCCATTAAGAGCTACTGGCCTTGCAGGACAGATCAGCTGTGATATCAGAGTACTTGAAGCAGATGGCTGGCAGTGCCCGCAGTAAAAACCCACCCTTACCAGTCTCTCTGGGTAAATTCAACATAGGCTTAATTAAGGATCTGATATCCATAGATGCACACAGACATGGGCACTAATTCCATATTTAAGAGGATGAGATTACTTGTAAAATCTTGTCACCATTATTTTATGCTTTCAATCATGCTCCTACTTTATACTGATTTTTAACATAAAAAAACTCGGGATTTGCCCATTTAGAACTTTGGCACACAAGAGAAAGGTAAAAGCTTCAGAACAAAGCAGAGTTTTATTAAAGGCTGTGCACCCTGTCATATTTTACAAGTAGCAGCTGGTTCCTTAATTTAAGGGCACTCTCTAAGAAATACAAATGTAACTGAAGAAAGTGGCTAGGATTGTTACTATGAGAATGTTAGCTTAAACAAAACTAATGATGTACCTCTGAGTCATGATCTTGGCACTGACGGCTGGCTTGAAGGTATTATGGAGGATTTTCACGATTTTTTTCAAAAGACCCGCCCTCTCCGCTTAAAAAAACAAACTCTTGTACAACCCTGTATCCGCTCCGGAGAGGAAATGCATGTGAAAGCGTGCACAAGGAGAAATGGGCTTGTGCACGCTCTCACATGCTGTGTTTAAAAGTTTCTTACAAGCTTACTGCATCCAAACATGCACCCTTACCCCTAAATCTCTCAATCAGTATATAGAGTGGGAACCATATAGTGGACATTACAGCAAACTCAGTTAACTTACCGTTCAGACAGATGATCACTCGCTTTTACCTCCCGTTGGTCATGTAATTCCCTCTCAACTGCATGGAGCCTGAACCATCTTTGTTATTAGTTACCACTGTCGGTTAGTGACAGACTATGGCTACAGCAGGCCATTGTGACATCAGTCTATGCCCAAAACATTCCGGGATATATCTGCCTCCTCTGAGGCTTTCTTTTCTTCTCATACACTTTGTAGACACTTTGCTTTTTCGACCCTCCACTATTTTCAAAGAACTGTGGTGAGAAAGGTGAACTTCAACGACTGTCTGAAACTGCAGCTCACCACAGACTTACACCTGAAAGTGCGTAGAAAAACATGGCTAATGGGATGAGTGCGTAGGACGGCCTTATGTAAACATATGACCAGAATGATTGACAATTAGGAGGACCACTTATTGAGATAATTCACCCGGAAATAAAAGATAGTCCTTTAATCATCTTGTCCTTTAATTGCTCATTCCGTTCACTTGTCTATATCTGCCTGTTGCTCATTACCTCTCATCTGATCCACCTGTTCCAGTTCCTATTTATGCTGCCTTTTTTCCAGCCATTAGTGCCAGATTATTCGCGCTGATTGTGAGAGTTTTCTAGTAATCTGAGAGTTTCTGATTTCCTGATCCTGATGTATTTCTGTTCCCGGACTTCTGATTTTTT